TTGTGGTCCTGCCGTGTACGGATGGTTCCGATTTCTTTTTCTGCCCCAAATGCGGGGGCTTTATGCACCAGGCTGTTTTTGCCAAGACTGCTTTGTCCAAGGAGTGCCCCAATGTGCTGCGCGGCCACGGCCGCACTAATTTTAACAAAGTCATGCGTGGTCGCCACCCAAGGAAGAGCCTGGGGGTAGGCCGACCTGAAGAGTTGCCTGCAGGGGCGATTCCCGCCCTTGTGCCTCCCTCCTCCTCAACGCCCGTCCCCAACTTTTGATTCGGATGGTTCGAAATCTATGGTCTCAGAGCGCCTTCCCGCGTAGGGTCGTACCGTTTTTGGTTTTGTCCACTCGACCCCTGCATGACCAGGGGTCGAGGATCCGTCCAGCCTGCTTTTGGTGCCGAGGCTCGGCCCAATATGGTTGCTCGTCGCACCGCCATTAGCGCGGAGTCAGTGCAACAGGCTGCGATTTTTTTCCCTCGGCTCCCTCCAACGAGAGTGGGGCGAGGGGCCGCCGCTGTTTCCACGGCACTGCGGGACTGGCAGCCGTCTCGGCGTGAGTCCCCCCGCAGTTGCCGTGACGTCAGCGGTGGGGCAGGGCTGGTGGCGAAAGTGGTAGTTGGCGCCACCCAGCCCTGCCCCCACCTCTGGGGGGAGGCGCCGTCCCCCCAGAGAGTATGGCTTGGCAGTTGTGGATGTCACAAAAAAAAAATCCGTCCTCCCTTCCTTTCCTCCTATTCCTCCGCCTTCCTCCTCCTCCTCCTCCCTCCATCCTCCCTTCTCCTCCTCCCCCTCTCTCCTCCGATTGCTCCTCTATGCTCTTCCTCCTCTCCTCCTTCCTCTCCTCCTGCCCTTTCCTCCTCCCCCTCCTCCCTCCCTACCTGCTCCTTCCTCCTTCTCCTCCTCCTCCTCCTCCTCCTCCTCCTCCTCCTCCTCCTCCTCCTCCTCCTCCTGGCTCGTCCTATAGGCCTACCAAACAACAGTCTGAGAACCTCTTGTTGTTTCCACGGGATGTTCTCAGAACATTTCTGGCCGGGAGCGTCTCGTTTTCACACATCGGGTCTATGGTTCTAAGAACACCGCTTTCGTTCTAAGAACCTTCGCACATTTTTGGGCTCTGAGGACATGTCATGGTAGGCCAGTAGGAATGCTGGGACGGTCGGTCCCTGCTCAGTGCAGCATCAGGTAGATCACGGCGCTCATGGCGACCAAGTTGTCGACGGGCATCTTCCCTGTTGCACGATAGCGCCCGTCGCGCCCGCCAAGCCTCCTCGCGCGCTCGTGCCCGGATTGACTTGTCGTTCCGCTCCGCTCGTATCCATCGTGCCTCACGTGCTCTTGGCCGCTCCTCCAAGGCGCCAAGGTGCTCGCCAAGGTCGCCCTGGCACGCCGATGTTTGCCGCACGCCTGGCCACCAGCAAGGTCTTGGTCGCTCACGTAATCAGCTGGTCTCGGCCACACCTGCTGGGCCCCTCTGCTGGAGCTCCCCACGGCTCCTGGAGTCGTCGGCAGGCCTCCTCCTCCTCCTCCTCCTCCTCCTCCTCCTCCTCCTCCTCCTCGGAGGAGGAGGAGGAGGAGGAGGAGGAGGAGGAGGAGGAGGGAGCGCATCCGCGCTCCCTCTGGCCAGTCTGCCAGAGGGGGCCCGCAAGGGCTGGCGAGCCCGAGGCGGCACGCTCGCGGGAGAGAAGAACGGCAGGAGCTGCCGCAGCAGAACGCGGTGGCTCAAAGGTGGGGTCCTGAGGGATGGGCTTGGTTCTTCTTAACTCTAGGCCTCCTAGATGGGGTCCGAGCACATGGGGTCGGAGGATCGCGCCGCATCGACGATGCGGCTCGATGTGGAGCCCGTGTGGAGCTCGGTGGCTCAAAGGTGGGGTCCTGAGGGATGGGCTTGGTTCTTCTTAGATTCTAGGCCTCCTAGAGGGGGTCCGAGCACATGGGGTCGGAGGATCGCGCCGCATCGACGATGCGGCTCGATGTGGAGCCCGTGTTTCCCCGCGCCGACGTCGCCGATGGATTGCCGATGCATCGCCGATGCATTGCCGATACATCGGCGATGCATTGGCGACGCGGCGCGATCCTTCGACCCCACGTACTCGGACCCTAGCTAGGAGGCCTCTATAAATATGCCCAGGGCGCTTCTTTTACAGTGTTTAATTCGGCTTGTTGCAGATCATTGTTTCAGCGCGTTTGTAATCAGGTCCCAACAAGAAAACAAAAAACCATTATACATATATATATATCTTTAAAGGAAAAAGTCGTTCATAGGGCGAAGCCCCGCCGCCTTCTGAGAAGGCCTCCTCCTTCTCACTTCCCCCCTCGCTCGCCGCCGATGGGACTCGGAGAAACGCCAACAGTACACCACCACCAGCCCTGGCCAGGTCCATCCTGGGCCCTGGACTGGTGCATAGACCTCCAGGCCTAGGCCAGGAGGGCGTGTACAACAGCCCAGGGCACATGATGGGCCTGGCCAGGGCTGGTGGTGGTGTGTTGTGTGGAGCTCTCCTGACGACCCCGTCCCTCAGGACCCCACCTTTGAACCACCGCGAAGTTCGTCGCCCACCCCCCGGCCGCGACGCGGCGAGGCGCGATCCCCCGCCCGCGGCCACGCCGATGGTGTGCCCGCGCACGAACGCCTCGGGGAGTTCGCCCAGCAGATGCTCCTGGGTGGGGCCAACGCAGAGCGGGATGAGATGGAGGCGGAGCAGGACAGTAGCAGGAGCAGGAGCAGGAGGACCAGTGCAGGAGGAGTAGCGAGGAGTAGCAGGACAGTAGCAGTAGCAGGAGCAGGGGCAGGAGGAAGAGGAGGAGGAGCCGGTGCAGGAGCAGGAGCAGGGGCAGGAGGACGGGCAGGATGAGGAGGAGGAGGACGAGGAGCAGGAGGAGGGGGAGGGGGAGGGGAGGGGGAGGAGGAGGAGGAGGAGGAGGAGGAGGGGAGGAGGAGGAGGAGGAGGAGGAGAGGAGGAGGAGAGGAAGCGAGGGGCGAGGCGGAGGGGAGGAGGAGGGGGACGAGGAGGAGGAGGAGGCGGAGGAGGAGGAGGAGGTGGAGAGTAGGGAGGAGGCGGGGAGAGAGAGAGCAGGAGGAGCAGGAGGAGGAGGAGGAGGAGGAGGAGGGGGAGGAGGAAGAGGAAGAAAGGAGGGGCAGGAGGAGCAAGAGGAGCAGGACGAGGCAGAGGAGGAGAGGTGGAGGAGGAGCAGGATGAGGAGGAGGAGGCGGAGGGAGGACGAGGAGGAGGAGGAGGAGGAGGAGACGGGGGAGCGTCTCCGCCGCCCCGCCGTGGTGCCCCGCGGCGCCCTGTGTGCGGGTTTGCCCCTGGGGATTGGCGCTGGGCCTTCGCTCCGGTAGCCTCACCGCGTGCGCCGCCATGCCACGCGGCGCTCGCGGCCATGCCCGCTCGTATTTCCAAGATCCTCCTCCTCCTCCTCCTCCTCCTCCTACTCCTGCTCCTCCTCTTCTCCTCCTCCTCCTACTCCTCCTCCTCCTCCTCTGCTCCTCCTCCTCCTCCTGCTCCTCCTCCTCCTCCTCCCTCCTCCTCCTCCTTCTCCTCCTCCCCTATCCTGCTCCTCCTCCTCCTCCTCCCCCTCCCCCTCCTCGACGCGGCGCGGCGCAAGCCCCCGCCCGCGGCCAAGCCGATAGTGTGCCCGCGCGCTGCCGCCTCGGGGGGGTCGCCCAGCAGATGCCGCCAGCTTGGGCCACCGCAGAGCGGTATGATATGGAGGAGGAGGAGGAGGAGGAGGAGGAGGAGGAGGAGCAGGAGGAGGAGGAGGAGGAAGGAGGAGGAGGTGAAGAGGGGAGGAGGAGGAGGAGCAGGAGGAGGAGGAGGAGAGAGGAGGATGGGCAGGAGCAGGAGCAAGAGGAGGGAGCAGCAGAAGCAGGGAGCAGAAAGAAAGAGGACGGAGGTGGAAGAGGGGAGGAGGGGAGGCGGTGAAGTTAGGATGAGAGGGGAGAAGAGGAGGAGGAGGAGGCGGAGGAGGAGGAGGACGAGGGGGAGGGCAGGAGGAGGAGGAGGAGAGGAGGAGGAATGAGGAGGAGGAGGAGGAGGAGGAGGAGGTGGAGGAGGAGGAGGGGGAGGAGGAGGAGGAGGGGCGAGGAGGAGGAGGAGAGGAGCAGGGAGAGGAGGAGGAGGAGGAGGAGGAGGAGGAGGAGGAGGAGGTAGGAGGAGGAGGGAGGAGGGGGAGCAGGGCAGGAGCAGGGAAGCAGGAAGCAGGAGCAAGGAAGCAGGAGCAGGAGCAGGAGCAAGAGGAGGAGCAGTCAGTTGCAGGAGCAGCAAGACGGGAGGAGGAGGAGAGGAAGAGGAGGAGGCGGAGGAGGGAGGAGGAGGAGGAGAGTGAGGATGAGGTGAAGTAGGGATGAGTCGGGGGGAGGAAAGGGGAGGAGGAGGGAGGAGGAGGAGGAGGAGGAGAGGAGGAGGAGGGGAGCGTGGAGGGCGTAGGATGGAGAGGAGGATCAGCGAAAGGTGCAGGAGGAGGAGGAGGAGGAGGAGGAGGCGGAGGGAGGGGCAGGAAGAGCAGGGGAGCAGCAGAAGCAAGAGGAGCAGGAGGTGGAGGAGGAGCAGAAACAGGAGGTAGAGGAGTAGGAGGAGGAGAAGGAGGAGGAGGAGAAGGGAAAGCATCTCCGCCGCCCCGCGGCGCCCTGTGCGCGAGTTTGCCCCTGGGGCTGGGCGCTGGGCCTGCGCTCCAGGGGCCCCCGCCGCTTGCGCCGCCCTGCCACGCGGCGCTCGCGGCCCTCCTCCTCCTCCTCCTCCTCCTCCTCCTCCTCCTCCTCCTCCTACTCCCTCCCCCCTCCTCCTCCTCCTCATCCTCCTCCTCCTCCTCCTCCCTCCTCCTCCTCCTCCTTTCTCCTCCTCCTCCTCCTCCTCCTCCTCCTCCTCCTCCTCCTTCTCCTCCTCCTCCTACTAGCCGTTTCGGCTCGGGCTGGCAAAACTGTGGGCAAACGCCCGAGCGTGCACTCGCGATCTTCGAATCGGCACACGAGTGCGAGCCATGTATGCAGGGCGCGGCGCGCACCCCATGTGGCAGTGCGGGCAGTGCGCCAAGAAAACCAGCACCGCCTATCCGAACTTCGCGTACCGCGCGGAGTGCCGCGTGTGCGGCAGCCAGGCGCCCAACAGAGTTTTGGGGAAGTTGTCGCAGCCTGCGGAGGCGCCATGGAAGGTGTTATCGGGGAAGTGTGCCAAGGGGCCCCCTCCTCGCGGCGGCTGCCAGGCCCCTCCTCGCAGCGGCGGCCGGGCCCTTCTTCGCGGCAGCGGCCAGGCGGAGGCGAAGAAGGAGGTCGACGACAAGCAGCTGGAGTTCGCCAAGTACGTCCTGGAGCCCCAGAAGCACGAGCACGGGGCGGGCCGGACCGCCTGGCCGCAGGACCAGCCGCAGCTCCTGGAGTGCGCGGCAATCGTCGACCAGGCGGAGGCGGCCAAGAGCACGGACGGGAACGCGGGCGCGCGCCAGATACTCGTGCGCCTCTCCGACGCGGAGCGGAAGCTCGAGCGGGCGCAGGGCCGCATCGACGCCATCAAGCTCGAGGCGGCCGAGGTGCAGAAGCGCTTGCAGGATGAGGAGGCCATCCTCAAGGGCCACGGTGACAAGAAGCAGGAGCTGGAGGAGGCTCCGGACCGGGCGCAGCTGCGCGAGGCGAGCGCCAGGGTCCAGGCGATCCCAGCAGGGGAAGCCCGTGGGCGCGCGATCCGAGGCGGGCTCGCGAAGGCCGTCACTGCTGGGGGCTCAACGAGCACACCGAGGCCGCTCTCAAGACCGAGGTGGGGGCGGCCCTCGAAGTGCTGGCCTGGCTTCTTGAAAGGGTGGCGGCCCAGCCCCCGCCGCCCCCGGCGCCAGCCGCGGCCGCGGCGCCTGCCAGCGCTGGGGCGCCTGCTGCTGGTGGGGGCGCTGGTCATGGGCCCATGGGACCTGCTGAAGAGTCTGATGCGCCCGACCCCAATGACGACGAGCAGGAGTTCTGGGCCAGCATCGGCATGGGAGTCGCAGCCGCCGCAGATGGGGCCGAAGGGCGTGATGACCTGCCGGCCCGGCGCAAGCGGGCCTGGGAGGCCACCAGCGTTGCGCACAAGAAGATGCGCACGACACGTTCCTAGGGGCCCAGAGGCGGAGGACCTGGAGCTGTGGACAGCGAACACAACAGCCTGGAGCTCAGTCGAGCGGCTGCTCGACTGGTGGGTCGTGGACCGAGGAGGCTGGCCGCCCGACGTGGTGTGCTTCCAGGAGCACAGGGTGAAGCTCGAGAGCAAGCGTGCCTCAGCGAGGCGCGCGGCGCGCGCGCGAGGATACCGGGCCACCCTGGGCCTGGCGCGCTCGACCGGGGATGGCCCCGTGCATTCGTCGGGAGGCACCGGGGTCGTTGTCGACGGCGGCAGTTGCGGCAGCGGGTTACCCAGCGCCCCGCTGCCCCAGCCACAGATTGCATGTGGTGCAGCTCAACTTGGGATTGCAGCTGCCAGTCTTGGTGGCTTCGCTGCACCTCTGAACTCGGTGGGCCTCACGGGCCCCAACGTCGAGTTGCTGGAGAGCCTCTTGCGCGAAGTCCTGAGCTGGAGGTTCCCCTGGGTGATCTTGGGAGGCTGGAACCTTGACCCACGTATGGTCCATGACTGGGCGCGCGTGGCTGGAGGCACCGCGGCTTCGACTGGCAGGCCAAAGTGCGGAGCGAATGAGCTCGACTACGCGGTGGTCAGCAGGGCGCTGTCGGAGCTGGTCGACGACGCGCAGTGGATGGAAGGTGCCCCGATGCACCCGCATTATCCTGTCATCTTGAGGCTGACGGGCGTGCGCAAGAAGGCGAAGGTGCAGGCGGCGAAGTACCCCGCGAAGTTTCTGCTGGACCTCCTTCCGCCGGCGCGGCCAGCACCACAGGCGGAGACCGAGTGGGACATGGGCGCGAGGGAACTCAGCGTCGGCGAGGCGCCCGCGGAGTGGTACGCGAAGGCTGAGCAGCACTTGGCGGCTCTGCACGGCGAGGAAGTCCCAGCCGGGACAGTCCAGAGCAGGGCGGACGGCCTTCAGGTGCATTGGATCCCCTTGGAGGCGCACTGTTCCAACAGCGTGCGGTCGCGGTCCCGCCAGGAGGCGCGGCGATGGCACAGCCGAGCGGGGGCCCTTCGGAGGCTGGCGGCGCTCGCCACACAAGATCGCACCAGCGGCGAGGACTCGCCCGAGCTGAAGCGCCAGACGAGGCTGACGAGGTCGCTGCAAGGCCCCAGTGACCCTTGGCCCACAGAGGAGGCCCTGGCAGGCCTGGACATGCGGAAGCTCACCGACGTAGTTTGCTTCGGGAGCAACGGTGCTTGCGGGGTGCTGCCGCAGGCGGTCCAGAAGGATGTCGATCGCACGGACGACGAGGACCGGGGGCGGCAGGGACGACAGTGGAAGGCTGGACAGGACGAGGGGGAGGGACCGGGCCTTCCAGCTGCAGAGGCCCTCCAGACGCTGCTTGACGATTGGTCGCCCCTCTGGTGCAAGGCCAGCCGGGAGAGTGAACAGCACCCCGCTGAGTGGCCCGACGGGGACCCGCTCCCCGCCGAACCGTTAGCAGATTCGGACGCGGCTGGATGCGCGGACGCGGGACTGGGGTGGGAGCAGACACAAGGCGGGATGCGGACTGGGGCGGGATAGGCCCCACCCGGGGAAGCTTGCACTTGCCGCGGGCGCACCGTGAGCGGTTCATGCAGACCTTCGCGGCGTGGGGGGCCTGCCCGTGCGACGCGAGGCTCTGGGAATTGATCACCGTGTTCCTGGCCAAGGAGGACGGGGGCATGCGGCCGATCCGCCTCAACTGCTTGTGGATCCGCCTCTGGTCCAGGCTGCGCCAGCCGCTCGTGAAGCAGCGGGGGGGCGACCTCAATGACCCTGCGTTCTGGGGCTCGGAGGGCACGTCGCGTGACGCCGCAGGCTTGATTTCCAACTCGTCGGCAAGCTTCGCGCGGATTAAGAAGGCGGCTGCCGAGGCAGGCGTGGTGGACTTGGCCAAATCCCACGAGCACGTCAGCCACGCCGAGCTCGCGATGGCGGCGGGCGAAACTGACCCCCCCCCCCCCCCGGCGGCTCCTCAAGCTCCTGTGCCAGAGCTAGAGGTTCGGCCGCAGGGCCATTTGGGCTGGTGCGATTTCGGATGGCATCCGGACGAACGGGACCCTGACCGCGGGGTGTTCGTGCGCCACAGTGGTGGCCAAGCTGCTGCTCAACGCGCTCACGAAGTGGGCGCAGACGCGGCGCCCGGCGGCGCGCTGCCAGAACATCGTCGACGACGTCTTCGTGCAGGCGGTGGGCGGAGAGACGCAGGTGAAGGTGCAGTTGCCTGGCGCAACGGTCGACCTCGCGCGCGGACTGGTCGAGAAGGGAGTGTGAGCCTCCTGGAAGAAGACCATGTATTTCGCCAACACTGCAGACGCGGCTGCTGCCATGGACGCGGCGCTAGGGGCAGAGGCGGCTGCAGCATTGGCCCCGGGCGGTCAGCGGAGCTCCGGGGCGCGCAATTTGGGCTGCGATGCCACGGATGGCAGGTGGTGGGGGGTCCACGAGCAAGATGCAAGGATGCAGCGAGCGGCGCGCGTCCCCCTCAGAGCGCAGGCCCTCCGCATGGCAGGAAGAAGGCAGCTGGGCTGCAGAGGGGGAGCCCCGCGGCGACTGCGCTACGGGGATCCGCGGTAACAGGCATAACCGACGGCAAGCTGCACCAACTCAGACTCTTGGCGGCGAAGGCTGCGGGCAGGCCCCCAGCGGGGTGCAGCGTCGGCATCAGGCTGAAAGCGCACCCACGCGCTGCTTCGCGGGACCCCTGGATCTTGCGCGCCACCGAGCTTGCGAGCGCTGGGACCTCGACGCTGGCGCGGGGGCTCGTCACGGAGGCGGTGATGAAGACGTGCTGGGGGGCTGCGAGCGGCATTTTGATTCGTGGGAGGCCCTGGAATCTGCGCCGCTGCCCGGCGGGGGCCTGCCGCCTTGGGCAGCGCGGGGCAGGGTTGGGCATGCCGCAGTTCGATGCCTTGGGGGCCCCAGGAGGTGAGGTCATTCGGTTGCGGGACTTCTCTCCAGGAGCTGCCGAGGAGATCGTTCGCCGGCGCGCGTGCCAGATGTCCGAAATGGCTGCTCTGGCCAGGCTGAGAAGGGCCGGCACGTGGGCGACCCCGCTCAAGTGGCCGCCATTGGCCAAGCTGCTCGGGCCGAAGTCGGTGGACGACGCCGAGTGGACGATCGGCCACCAGCGGGCTCTTCGAAGCTCGCTCGGAGGATCCCACTGGTCGCAGGCCCGGCTTTGCGACGAGGGCAAGACGGGCAGCGGCCTGCGCGCAGCGTGCCGCGCGGAGCGGGGCACGTTCTGGCACCGCCGCTTCGCTTGCGACGGCCACGCAGTGCGCAGAAGGAGCCGGCGTCCGCCAGAGCTGCTGGCCGCCGCGCGCGCGGCGCGCGAGCGCGGAGAGGCGGCGGGCGAGCCGTTCGCCCGAGATCTCGCGCCCTGTGCGCAGAAATGCTTCTCGAGGTTATAAGGCTCAGAGGCCCGCCGCCTCGCGCGGCACACGCGGCCCGAGGGGGGCTTCTTCTCGGGCGATGTCTTCATCGACGGGAGCGACTTCGACGTGGAGGACGACTCGCTGCGACGGGCAGGGTGGGCCATCGTGGCCTTCAACGACGACCGGGAGATCACGGGCGCGGCGCCGCTAACGCAGGCGCCGCTGCAGGAGGCGCCCGACGGCGAGGATTGCGCGTTCAAGATGCTGGCGCGGCTCGGGCAGGGCCCTCTCAGGGCCCACTGCGATTGCAAGGGCACGGCGAGGTGTGCGCGCGACTGGGAACTCGCCGCGCGCGAGGCCAACGAGCGGCGGCACCTCCTGTCAGCGCGGTGGTCCGAGATGGGCGACCAGGAGGTGGAGGTCGTCAGGATCAAGGCGCACCTCGGGGTGAACGCGACGACGAAACACTTGGAGGGCTGGCGGCGCGCTGGCAACGCTGCGGCGGACCGCCCGGCTCGCCGTGGAGCCCGGCTGCGGGGCGCCCCCGACGAGGCGCGCCTCTTCGCCGCCGCGCGCAGGCGCCGAGCGAGGCAGCTGGCGCGATGGGCGGGAGACCTCCACGTGCACCTGCAGGAGAGAGGGAGCGATTCCGCGGGCCTGGGTGCAGACGCATGGGAGGGCGAGGAGGAGCACGACGGTGGCCAGCACGACGCCAAAGGCGGCCCAGCGACAAGCAGACGACCCCCACAACGTCACGGAGTCGGCGCGGCCGTGCCCCTCCAGGCGACGCCCGGCGCACCGGAGGAGCTGGCCAGAGGGGCGGCCGACAGAGGCGCGGAGGTTCGCCACGCCTCTGCAGCGCCATGGAAGCTGAGGGGCCATAGCATTTTGGCAAGGCCGCGCGACGACGAGGACGCGGTGCTCTTCTGCATGCAGCGCGGTGCCAACGCGCAGGTGCCGTGGACAGGCCGCAGCAGCCTCCTGGGTCCGCGCCACGGCCCCGAGGCCGCTGGACTAGCAGAGGCGCGCGGGCGGCTGCGAGGCGGCCTGCGCCCGTGCCCCTGGAGGCAGAGACAGGGGCCCGGGCAGCCTCGAGCTCTCACAGACACCGAGCGGAGGATGTGGCGACCAGCGCTGGCGCTAGACGCTGGCGAGGAAGGAAAGGGAACTCCAGTCAGACCGGGTTACGGGCTCAATTGGCGGCGTCTTCACATCTTCGACGTGGCGCGGCTGCGCGGGCCCCCCAGCCCTGTGGAGGCAGTGGCTTGGGAGCGCGCGGCGGCGCTAGACAGCGAGGGCTCTGAGAGCGACGGCATGGCGCGAAGGCGGCGCGCTGCATGCACCTCCCGCCCTGAGCCGTTGAGGGCGCCAGGCCTCGGCGGCTGTGCGGGGCCGCCGCGGCGGCCCAGGTGGGCTAGACTAGCCCGCCCTCTACCCAACCCAAACCTCCTCCTCCTCCTGCTCCTGCTCCTCCTCCTCCTCCTCCTCCTCCTCCTCCTCCTCCTCTTCCTTATCCTCCTCCTCCTCCTCCTCCTCCTCCTCCTCATCATCATCATCGCCATCGTCATCCTCGTCCTCTTCGTCATCCTCCTCCTTCTCGCCCTGCCTCTCTTCCCCCTCCCCATCCTCCCCCTTCCGTTGCGAGTGTGGCTCAAGGCCAAAAACCGGTTCCATAACTGCCTCTGCGGGGTAGGCCCCTGTCCAGCGCTAAAGTTTCGCGGTTGCCACTAGGGCGAGTTACCGCCCGTCCGTTCTCTCCGCATCCATTCCGCTGCGTTGGGCCGGCCACCTTGGCAGCGAAGAGCCTCGGCTTCCACGCCTGCTCGTCGAGTTCGTTTCCGAGTTATTCATCTACCTCTTGCTCGCCAAGTCCGCCCCCTAACCCACCGTAGACCTCCTGCGGCAACTCCAATCCTGAAGCACGCGCTGGATAATTACGGCTTGAACAAATTGCATTGGATTTCGACGAAGTGCCGACCTTCCCGCCACATGCTGCCGCAGCGCAATCAGCCAGGCTTGCCCCCCTCAAAACGACGACCGTTTTCTGGCGCGCCTGAAGAAGTGGACGCAGCTCTACAGGAACTCACGCAACAGCGAGTTGCCCAGGCAGCCGCCACTTTCCAGCGCCAGGCCGACGTGCTCCTCAACAGGTCGCTGGAAAGTTTCCGCGACTTCCTACAGCGATAATTTCTAGCAGACCGAACGACGAATCGACGCCCCACACGCGCCGTCGCCCGCGCGCGCCGCGACCAAGACCGACAGACCGCCGAGCGGCAACGGACGCGGCAGCTGCTCGACCAGATGCGCGACGCGCTCGCCCTCGCTGAGGCGCATGCGCGGGCCACGGATCACTCTAGGCCTGCCGAACGGGACAGGGCTCAGAGCCCGCGCTCTCCTCCGTCGCCAGCCAGCGCCTGATCGCGCCACGCACCCCCTTCAACGACCTGCAGGAGTGGCTCGCGGCCGGCAACCTGCAATCTGACCACGTCGAGCTCAATGATGGCGACGAGTCCGCTCGGCGCTTCATCCCCCAGGTGAAGGGCGACACAGGTGCGGCTGCACCGCGCGCCCTCGCACTCGCTCGATCCATTCGAGGCAACCCCGACAAGCCAGCCGAGCAGATCCGCGCCGAGGCCCAGGCCAAGAAGCTCCAACACCTCATGGCCCAACGCCACCCAGACCCTCAGTGGCGCGCCGCCCGAGCCAAGGGCGAGATTCACTCCAACGCCGCGCCAATCTTTCGCCTCGAGATCCGAGGCCAAGCCGACCCGACCATCCTCGAGTGGGACGAGAAGGTTTGCGACAACGGGCCGTTCCAACAGATCGACGAAGCTGCCACCCCAGACGCCTTCCAGGACATCTTCGCGGACACCGAGGCGGCAACGCGGCGCCCCTGGCAACCCGCGGGCCCCGCGGCGCATCGACGGGGCGACCGACCAGACCGCGTTCGCCACGCGGAATGCGAGAGCCTCCGCGCGCCACCCACGCAAGAGACGCCGCAAGAAGCTGGCCCACCTCGCATCCTTCATGAAGCACACGTGCGTTAGCATGATCGAGGAGGAAGTCCACGGTTCTGAGACCCTGCCCGGCACGCGAGCCGACGCCCGACCGCGCCCGCCGCATGATCTCTCTTCTCCAAGTTCAAGAACTTCCGCGGCGGCCCCCATCAGGCAACGGGAGGCGTCGCCACCCTCGCCCCGCGGTGTACAATTCGAGCAACGTCGGCCCCGCGAGCCACCGCAACGGTCGCGTAAGTCTGCCGCGGACGGCGGGGGGCTGCCCGCGGCGATCACGCGCGCCGTCTCGCGGAACACCGCTGTCATCACAAACGTCGACAACCGCGACGCCGACGCAGCGGCCGGAGCGGAAGTCCAGCGCGCTCGGCATCGGCGCCGCAGACGGGCCGCGGCGGGCCGCCGGCACCGCGCGCCCATCGCCGCGGGCGGCTGCAGCGCGGCCGGCCGCCCGCCCGGCAGTTCCGCGCAGCCGCGACCGCATCGCGCCCGCCCCGCGCTGGGCAACAGCGCGCGCCAGCAGCCGCCGTTCTGGAAGGCCCCCCCTGTCAGCGCGACGCTGGAGGCCGAGGCGGACCTGGCCGCCCGCTCCCGACTACTCTGCCTCGGCCACAGGACGCGTCCTCACCAGCTTGCCGTCGCAGACCATGCAGGAGCCCACTGCTAACGTCACCATCGCGCACGACGCTGCCACCCACTCGGACAGCCGCCTCAGCGACCACGCCGTCATCGCATTCCCCATCGGCACCAAGTCCAGTTCACTTGTTGGCGAGCTGGCGATCCCGCCAGCCATCTTCCGCGACCCCAACTACAACAAGCACCTCCAGCAGCTCATGGGCGCGACGCAGACCACGAGCGTCCCGATCGAGTCTCGATGGAGAACCCACAAGGAACACATGGTGGAAGTTGCTGGTCTCGTTCGTGACGACTGGGTACGCTGCCCTTCTGGAGGCATCAAAAAGCATGGCTACCTGGACGGCCGAATGCCAGCGCGCTTTCAATATCCCGAGCCAGCTGGCGCCAAGATGCACGCCTTGCGCGTCGCCTGCACGCCACTACCGCAGTGGGACCTCAGTACCTGGACCTCACCGACCACTCCATCACGCTCAGTATCGACGCGGAGTTCGCCAACGCCTCGGCCCCCCTGCACAGCCACTTCGCGGCCGGGCGACGCTCTCCGGCATAGCGAGCGGCCCAGGGCCCCGCGGGGAAAGAGGGGGCCCTCCCCCGGACAGACGTCGCAAGGCCCTCGGGCCCTCCCAGCGGAGGGCCCAACTGCGGGCCCCCAGGAAGCGCCGCCTCGTCCTCCCGGGAATCAAGCCAAAGGCCCCCTGGGTACCCCTGCGACAGCCCGAGAGCATCGCCCCACGGCGGAGGCCCTCCGCGACAGCTGGCAGCCCGTCTTCGCCGCGAAGCAGGCTGGCGAGGCCAAGGGTCGGCAGCGCGTCGACCGGCACTTCCGACCCGGGATGCCATCGACGCTGGCGCGCGCAACAAGACGCAGATCCGCGCCCCCCTGCGCCGCGCGATTCCATCTGCCCCTGGCCCCGACTGCCTGCCCCACGTTGCTCGGAGTGCGCGCGAAACCTCCCTGGACTTCCTCGAGGGCCGCGCGTTCTTTCTGCGCGCTGGCCACTCCACCCCGCGGGGCCTGAAAGACTCTGACTCCGCCTTCACTCCGGAGGGCGACAGCCTCGTCGGCGAGCCCACTACAGACCGCGCCCCCGATGATACACGCCCGCTGCTCCTCAAGAACACCGCGATGCATGCACTGAAGACCGATGTGACAGAGTGGACACATTTTGCACAATAAGGCTTCGTGGTCGGCCGCATCGTGCGCCTCGGCGCCGAAGCACGTCGTGCCGGCTTTGGTATCCCCATCAGACTGCGTAGCTTGTTCGGCGCCATGTACTTCGCGCCCCACAGCTGCGTCAAAGTCGACAGCACCCGCCACTTCAAGTTGCCGCTCGAGACTGGCGCCGCGCAGGGTCCCCCGCCAGCGGCAGCGTGTGCGCCATCGCCGTGGACCCGCTCCTCCAGGAGAGCCAGGACGACCCCCCGAACTGCGACCTTGGCTACCTCGGCGACTGCGCTGGCGACCTGGGCCCCCGCGCCTCAGCCATCGACGCGCCGCGCAAGGTTTCGGAGCCCCCCGGCGTTGCCGAGGAGCTAGCGCCCCTGCCCCTCAAGCCGCGCAAGTGTGCAGCGGCCCCGCTTCGGGAAGCCACCCCCCGCACCCCCTGCCACCATCGCCCATGCCTAGACCCCCCTGGCAGAAACGTCGCCATCCTGGGGTTGTCACTCGGTCGCGGGGCGAGCCAAAAATACATTGAGCTTGCTTGGGGCCCTCGGCCCCGAATGCTTGCCAATGGCTCGCCCATGATCAGAAGTGGTGGTTCCCTGGCAACCTTGTGAATCTGGCACGAGGCGGCGGCGCCACGGTGCATCTGCACAACGCGTCCACATTCTCTACGACTAGCAATTTACCATCCTGCGCCGTGAGCATTGCGCATTTCGCAACATGCTTAGCCTGCCGCAAGGTCGACATGATTGCGATGGCCGGCTGGAGTCCGCCACGCGCGCCATGCCCGACGCAAAGCGACGATACTGCCTCTGCAATTCATTCAGCCACCCTGGCTCTTGGGGGGAGACTGGGAACCATTGTTGCGCAGGCCCCCCGAGAAGGCATCGGACAAAAAAACGCCCTCAGCTTTCCGCGCAGGCTCGCTCGCCAATTCCGGCAACCTTTGGGGCGGATCCACGCGCGACTGTTCAATGTTATGACTGCCTGTTGGCGAGCAGCTCTCAGCCTCCTTTAACGAGCGCAGTGCCGGCCACCGCAAACCAGGCTTCCCATGAGGAGATTCGCGCGGCTACAGCGGCAGACCCCCCGCGCCGCCCCCAAGGCGAAGCGCGCGGCGGCAGTGGAGCTTCGCCGCGCCGCATTATCAGCACCACGTTTCTCGGCACGCTTCGCAAGCACATCGAGTCCTTGGGCGCCTGCCTTCTGCCCTCGCCCGAAGTGCTTTCCACCGGCTAGGGCGCTGTGGCCTCGGAATTTACAACTCATCTGACCGAGCTGGCGCTGGGCCGCGCTCAAGACTCTGAGTGGTAGTTGGACGACGACAGGTCGATGCACGTCTCGCGCCTCGCTCTTGCATGTTCGGGCGCCGCCAGCAGCCAGGTTCACTCCCCCACTACCGCTCTTGCCCCGTCATTCGGAACCCCCTCCCCCAGGCCCCCTTGACCCCCCTCCACTTCAATCCGCCAGTGCATCCTGGGCTTTGGACCCCGCCGCTGCGCGCGCGCCCGCCACCGACCCCGACCTTCCGCTGCGTCGGACCGTGCAGCGCGTGGCGCTAGCCTTCCATATATTGATACATATATGTGTATGTACTTACAGA